TTGTTGCATCCTGTGATGGTGGTTCTTCTAAAGCTTCTGTACATTGTCCCCGCTTCAATAGAGTCTCTATACGGAATTTCCAATTGTTGAAATTGTTTGCCTCCAGAATAGGCACTGCGACACTGTTGAGTGCCGACATTGTTCAAGTTGTTGTTCACACGTTCACACTTGTATATTTTCAACTAAACTTGGGATACTCTTTCTATGCAAGAATGTTCCAGGTATTGCCTGGGCCCATAACCTGTTAACTATCCAAATTGAGTCACTTGTGACTAACAGGAATGAATACAACCATCACAACTTATAACTTGAACATTCAATAATAATTGTCTTTTTGCGACAGTGACATTAAACATCTCAGTGACAGTATATGTCATATCTATGACAACGACTGAACATCGGTATGTAACATTACCGATGAGAATATTATACAGAGACCTCTAAACAAAAGATTTAGGGCTATATTCAACATTTATATCGAACTTATAACTACTATATATGTAAAACGATTTATATCACGCGGTATATAACTGTCTCTCTGTCACTCGCTGCTTAACTAACTGACCGCAGTTGTTAGGTCATTTATATATGAGATCACTTGGCAGGCTTTGGTTCGAGAACGTTCTCGAATGATCTTTCGTCTTCTTCTTTTTGTTCTAGAAGCTTCTTAGAACAAAACCTCTCTCTCTAATTGTTCCATCGATTGTTTCCAGAACATTCCAGAATCTTCTGTGACGTTTTTTATCACTGCGGCATATATCGAGTGTTCGCAAATATGCTGGTGCATGTAGGAATCATTGGGAGGTTGGAGAACGATCTGGGATGCGTGTTACATATAATTGTTGTACTCCTGCTTTCCTGCTGATGATTCTAGTGCCCTGTTAAGGGGAATATCAACGCTATAATAAACTCATGAACTCAATAAAAGTAGGTTTCATCAATGTTAGGTCATTATTACCATCTCTCCAAGAAGTTAAATTGTTGATATCTGATAATAGTTTTGATTTGCTTCTGATTTGTGAGACGTGGCTCAGAAACGATATTTCTGATGCGGTAGTCAGCATAGATGGGTTCAAATTATATAGAAATGATCGTGAAACTAGGGGAGGAGGCCTTTGTATATATTGTAAAAATACTATTAAAAGTCAGCGAATGAATGATACTGATGATAATGATAATACTGAACAACTCTGGATTAAAATTATAATTGGAAAAAAGAATGTTGCCATTGGTAATACATATAGACCTCCTCGTCAGGATATAAACCAATTTTTAAACGACTTTGAAGATACTCTCAGTATAATCTGCCCTTCTGTTGACGAATTAATATGTTGTGGGGATCTGAATATCAATCTTTTAGAAGAGAATTCTAGTAATGTGAAAAAACTTGTTTCGATCATAGAGTCGTTTGAATTATTTCAAGTTGTGGACAGTCCTACTAGAATAACAGATACATCAAATACGCTGTTGGATGTTATCATTACTAATATGAATGAATATGTAACAGAGAAGGGTGTAGTTGATTCTAATGGAATATCTGATCATTTGCTTGTGTACTGTGTGTTCAAAGTTAGCAGTAACGAACAGAGTTCTAGATTTCATACATACAGAAGCTTCAAAAATTTCAATGATGAACTATTTCAAAGGGATCTGTTCAATACCCCATTTTTTGGAATTTTTGATCAAGAAAACGTGGATGAAAAGGTATCTCTATTGGTGAATTACTTGCTCAATATATTAGATAGGCATGCACCTATTGTAACTTCTAGAATAACTAAACCAAGAGCTCCGTGGTTGACAGACACTTTGAGAGACATGATGACTTTGCGAGATAATGCACTCAAAAAATATAAAAGAACGAAATCTGATAATCATTTTCAATTCTATAAAAATATGCGCAACTATGTGAATAAAGCTATAATAAGAGAAAAGAGGGCATATTTTGTGCAGCAATTCAATACCACTGATAAGAAGAAAATGTGGAAAACTCTTAAAAACAATAAAATGGTTGCTGATAAGTCGAGAGATTTGCCGAATGACCTCAAAAAAGTAGATGAAATTAATGATTTCTTAGTTAACAATATTCCACTGAGGTCGCCACCTCAAGAACTTCTAAGTTTTTATGAAACCAACAGATTGACCGATTCTGAATTTGTTTTCGAAGAGATAAATGACCTTTTTGTATATGAAACAATCTGTGGAATCAGAACTAATGCTATTGGGTGCGACTATTTAAATATAAAACTAATAAAATTATGTTGTCCTCATATAGTACCATATATCACCCATATAATAAATTTCTGCTTAACAAAAAATATATTTCCTGAAGCGTGGAAAAGAGCAGTGGTTAAAGTTATTCCAAAAATCCAAAATCCAATTGCATATAAGGATCTGAGAGGCTTGAGTATTCTCCCTGTGCTTTCCAAAGTACTGGAGCGAGCAATAGACTTTCAACTACGGAAACACCTTTCAGACTTTTCACTGTTACCTTCGATACAATCTGGATTTCGTAAAGGGTATAGTTGCACGACTGCTCTACTCCACGTTGTAGATGATATCTGCAGAGCTACTGACCAAGGCTTATGCACAGCTTTAGTTTTACTTGACTTCAGTAGGGCCTTCGACACCATCAATTATAATCTGATGCTCGCAATTTTTCACTATCTGGGACTTTCGCAAAATTCAATAAATTTGCTGAGGTCATATCTCTCAAATAGGCAACAAAAAGTGGTTATAGGTGATGCTAGCTCTACTTATCTGACTCTGAAATCTGGAGTGCCCCAAGGATCCATCTTAGGGCCTCTTCTATTCACAATGTATACGGCTCACTTGGTTAAATGCTTACAACATTGTTCTGTCCATCTTTACGCAGATGATACACAACTTTATTATAGTTTTCATCATCAAAACATTGCCAATGCCTGTATTTTCATCAATAGTGATATCGATTCTTTTGTAAAATCTGCAACCGATCACTGCTTACTCATAAATCCAAGTAAGTCAAATATTATAATATTCACTACTAAAAATGAACGTCGAATTGCAGATGATATTGATATAAGAATTCACAATGAGTCACTCACTTCAGTTAATGAAGCGAAAAGTCTTGGTGTTCTACTTGATGTGGATCTGAGGTTTGAAAAACATGTCAATAAACTGATACAACGTGCATATTCATCCTTAAAACTCATATATGGCAATCGAAATTTTTTAACAACCGCAGTAAAAATCATATTGACTGAATCACTTGTTTTATCCTTATTCAACTATGCCGACACCCTATATGGCCCTAATTTGACATATACATATAAAAACAAAATTCAAAAAGTACAAAACTCTTGTCTACGATTGATTTATGGGATCAGAAAGCGTGAAAGAATTTCACATAAGCTACGCCAGGCAGGCTGGTTGAATATGGAAAACAGAAGACTTCTTCACGATGCTTGTTTATTCCATAAAATTCTCACAACAAAAATGCCATCTTATTTGCATCGGAAAGTTACTCACAGAACGGATGTCCACAACTTGAATATCAGATTCAAAGGTACTCTCACACCACCTTTTTTCAGAACACAAAAGTTTAAACGTTCATTCAGCTATCGAATCACTAAAGTCTACAATTTCATCCCCCATCATATTAAAAAAGATAAGCTCAATGTATTCAAAGTAAAACTGAAGAAATACTTATTTGAGAATAATCAATGAGAAATTGTAACTGATTTTATTTCCCAATTTTCTTTTCTTTTTTAATTTATTATCATAGTACCTTATTCATCGATATAGATACACATTTATATATATATATATATATTCTTTTTATTTATGTTTTTACGATCGGTTATTTTGTTTGTATTCTTAAATAGACCCTCGGAGACATTTTTTGGGTTAAGTGGAAGAACAACTCATTTAGTGGAGTTTTCGCTGAATGAGCTGAACTTCGCCCTTTATTTTCACATAATTCTAATTGTTATTTCAATCATTGTAATTATTGTGTTGAAAATAAAAAAGACCTTTATTATTATTATTATTATTATTATTACAATAGGAAAGAAAATAATAATCCACCTATTTCAGATAGACAACTTATTGAGTTCAATTATGTGCGCTACAGTAAAGTCAACCTGTTCACGATAGATGAAGGTCTATTCGTACCAAATGGAAAAATCTTATTGAAACCTGTCTTACAAAGTGCATTTTTTGAAACAAATTGATATCATGCTAGTTCAGGAAAGAAGACTCAGCAAAATAATTGTATCTGTACTTGTTCGCTCATATTTTCGGACTAAATAATTATTTCCCTGTCATACCATGAAATCCATTGAATACAATACATATGGTTTTAGCAAGGCACTTGATTTGGTCGATTTCTTTCAGTGAACACATCACAAAGTGGTACTATAGGTAAACCACTCTGCTGACTGATGGCACTTCCTGACTACTCGAGTGAAATGATTCACCAGTCCTATTCGAAGGAATAAATCTCATAACTCGAAGATCTAGTATAAACAGAAAGGGTTATTTATTACTGCACAGCTCTCTCCTTCAGACTATTCAGTTTGAAGTTGACTATTCTATAGCTTTCATATCACATTGGAATAACTAAGTCTGATATGGCTTCAATGAAAAGCCGTCACAGCTCACATCAACAATAACTATGGAAGATATCAATCTCATCAGGTCAAATATGTTTGTTTTCATAATCCTCAATTCACTTTCTAGAGAAATATGATCAAATCAACCTCGAGCAGACCCAGTATTATTAGAGTTATGAGATTTTGCATTCCGAAATGGCAACAAAGAGCAGCAAAATCTCATTTGAAAACATACTCCGATTTTGCCATATGAATTGATATGACCTTTGTCAGTTTCTCATCAAATCTTGACAAAAATAATGGCCACTCGTGATTTGTTATGCATAACCGGCACATTGGTTGAACATACTATAATCTACACCAATATTTTGGTTTAGTCCATGCATTGATTTGTGTTATTCATTTCAGAAATATAATGATTCTGAATAAGGCAGGACTGTCTCCCCACCTGTATGCAACCTACAGAAACGGCTTGGCATATCGGTATGTCCCAGGAAATACTCTCACCAGTGAGACAGTTATGAATCCAAGCATATACGAGTTGGTTGCGAGGCGATTGGCATTGGTACATAGAGTCAACGTGAATGGGGTATCATGCACTCAACCAATCATATGGGATAAGCTGAAGGACTTCTTGAATCTTGTTCCAGATTCTTTCTCAGATAACGAAAAAAATATGAGGTAAAAATGAACAGTTTGATATATCAAGTACATTTGCAGTATATTTAAACCAACCTGTGAGAAAAGATGACGAATATGAATGTCAGTTGATTCAATCTTCACATCTGATCCGGGCCAATGTGGTTACCCTCAATATAAAATATAATGTTGATTTTACTGCTATCAGATAGAGAGTAACACTTCCCTGAAGGACTTTCCATTGAGAGCAGGTAGGATTTGAATTGAATTTAACTATTTGTGCGTGAGATATTGACGATTTTTCGTTTTATTCGAAACGTCCTTACCATATGTTATACCACAAAGTGTATTGATGAACATCGAAATACAAATCCCTTCGATTTTCAGAAACAATGCGCGATTGAAATTTCCTATAGCAACATAATTGTTTCTGTTGAAATAATACACTATAAATATATGTATATTATTTCATATCATAGCACCTTTGCAATGATTCTGAATTGTTGAATTTGTTGATATAATTGATTAAGCAATTGGTATTGTGACACTATCAAAAATATATTTTTTCCTTATTCTGCCCAATATCCATAATTCGTCAGGAAAGAAAATTAAGAAACTGAGAACTGACAATGGCCGAGAATATGTAAATAGATCCATGGAAGAATTTTTACAGTAAAATGGAATCTGTCATCAAGCGGATTGAAAGACGATATGCAGGAAATTGCCTTAGTTGTGGAAAACCAGGCCATAATGCGATCATAAAGAGCAACCTTTTTGCCATTCCAAGCCCTCAACATTCAAGCAAGAATCGAGGCATGCCTATTTAGCAGTCGACAGTAATGCAGCAGCAGGAAATGATGATAACTGGTACCTGGATTCTGGTGCAACTCGTCATATGAGTTTTTAGAAAGAAAAATTCCAAAGCATTAATTATAAAATCAACGTCGGAACTGTCGATAGAAAGGCTGCATATAATTCGTCAGAACGTATTCTATCAACACCGTATTATATCAAAATATATTCGATCAAAAGGGTAATTCAACAGAACCGTAATTCAACGGAGCAGTGATTCATCGGCATGCAAAACATCATAATGTAATCTATCATGTTGTACAATGAAGGAATGTACTCCATAGAACGTACAACATCATACCGTACTTTATAGAAATGGTAATTCATCATAACCGTATTCCATCAGAATGGTATCTCATCAGAATCGTAATCTGACAGCACGGTGAATCAACAAAACCGTATTAAATGAAAAAGGTAATTCATCAGAACCGTATTTCGTCGCTTCAGTAATTTGTCAGAATCGTATTCTGTCGCAATGGTGATTTATCATAATGGTGAATCGTCATGATGGTAAATTATCAGAACTGTAATCAGTCGGAATATCATTTTGTCAGCAGTGTATAGTATCGGTACTGTGAAACATCATAACCGTATTTTAACAGAACTGTAAATCATCAGAACTGTGTTTCATAAGAACCGTAATTCATCGCTTCCGTATTTCATCAGCATATCAATGTATCATAATTGTATGCTATCAGAACGCTAATCCATCATAACCGTATTTCATCAATACCGTATTCCATCAGAACCGTATTGTATCAGCACGGTATTTCTTCAGAATGGTAATCCATCGTAGGTACAGTGCCCTATCGGGAACGGAGTATCGATTTTCTGTCAGCTTTTCAGGTATGCTATGCGATGGCGCTGGTGAATGCATGTAAGATAAAAGAAGTATCAGATCAGAATAACTATTCTAACATGAAATCTGTTATTCTGAATGAGATCTCGATAGAATTTCACCTCAAGAATCTTTGTAAGCTTCTCAATATAGCTTCTGAATGTGAGATCGTATATTTTTTATATTATTATTGTCGGTGTTTGATAAGTGTATAGAGAGGCAGTTAGTTCCAACTGCCTGCGTGCGGTATCAATTATCAGAAATTGAGTTGTACCTACGTAAATTAGATTAAAAAAAAACTTATTCAATTTAGAATTTCCTTACACTCTGTAGATATGCATCTAATCGAAATATTATATCTATACAAGAATATATAGAGGAACAAGGTCCTTTCAGAGTCAGAATGAGATGAACCGATGAAAAATTTCATGCGTATACAGGGTGAGAATAACCTAATTCTGAAGTTGAAAGTTCGTATCACCGTATATCCTGAACTCAATCCGTTCTGTGATAAGGTGTCAGGAATTGGATTACGATTTGAAATTTCAATAGGCTATCGACTGCTGAATTAGTTATAGGTAATCATTTATTTTGTATCATTGTATTTCACATCCCCATTCAGAATAATGAATATATGTCAGTTGTCACTTTGCCCGCAGTGGGATATAAAAAATGGAATCACTTTTTTTGATTAGGTTCGGATGGAATTTTTTATGTTTCTACCTGATTCCTTGTTCATCGTTCGATGACTATTTTCATATTGTATCCACACTTCCCAAATTATTAGTTCTTCAACACTTTAACTGTCGCAGTCACACAAGCCTTTTGAGTTCTCATGAGCTTGGACAACACCATGCACATATTCGTTGCATACGTCAACAATTCGATGTATTTACCCACATCTTGCAAGCAATATCAAGGATATATTTCTTCAGGGGTAGCTGGAACCACACTCAACATGTTGTTTTTAAATGCAACTCTATGGCATGTGACCACTCATTGGAAATCAGGTGGAGAGAGGAATCTAGCAAACGGGCAAAAGTTTAGGTTTTTGTACGTCTACGAACATTTTTTTCAAAAATGATTTTTCAAATTTTTTACGGATTTTTAGTTACTTCGAAAGAACGCACTGTATACATATTCTATGTGTGATATAGAATGAAGAGATTTTGTATTTCGTGTAACAATCTTTATTATAAATCGCAAAGCGCTTTCGGCTAAAAAGCCATCATCAGTGCTATACCTGCGAGTAACTAACATTTATGAAATTTCAAGAAACAAATCGAAAAAGGTAGATTACTTACTCGTCAAGTATTTACAAAAAGGTCCAAAAATTAGTGATCACCGACATCATTATGGTACAAACGGGATTAGGAACAGACATACATTTAACAAATATGTTCCCTAATGGGTTATTGTAAAATTTTTCAAAAATACCTTATTTATTCTGGAGAATGTTTGACAATTTTTAACTTTAGTAAATTGTTGACCGTGACTGAGTGTCAATGTCTATGACTTAGTTGACATGTGTATGAAGTAGACAAGTGACATAATGAAAAAAGCGCTTGGGAAAGAATTGACAAGGTAAGCAGAAAACTGTCTAAAAATTTTGAAAGCATTCTGAAAAGTAAAATAAGATGAAGTGGACTTCAATCCAGGCCAAAGAGTAAACCTTTGTAGTAAAATTGAGAGAAAAGAGTTTCCAATCAAGACTTAAGAGTCCTGGTGTGCAAACTGGAGGTCCAAGGAGAATTCCTGTAGACGAATGCCTCATCAGAAGCAAACATACCACCAGAATACCTCCAGACCCAGAACGAAGGCCGAACTCAAGTCTCAAAAGTAAGCTGGATCCTGAATGCAATTTTGTTGTGTTGGGTGAAAATTAAAGAGCAGGACTTCCATTTCGGACTCAAAAGTCCTAGTGTTCGAGCCGAAGATCTAAGGATGCCCAACCCAAGTTGTGAATCCACAAGAGAATGACAACATCAGTTGAGCCTCCCGACCTCAAGCGTAGACCGGACTCAAGTCCGAAAAGTAAGCCAGATTCAGACTTGTTGAAGCCGGCAAGGAAAGGTCTCCGACTCATTTGCGATGATTCGATGTTCTTAAGACATAGTGAGTGTGGCATCGTCCACCAGGCGCATGACTTGTCTCTCTGGATGGAATCTAGAAGAATCAACGTATATGTGTCTGCCTTATGTGGAAACAATATTCTGAAAATGGTCGTATCTGTATTTGGTTGAGTAGCTTTTTGTCTGGAATAGAAATCCTACTTTTTGTGAAGCAGCGTTCGTGAAGGAACTATATGTCATATACTGCTTGAATACAATTGTTATTTATAATAAGCATAGGGAATCTTCATTTCGGTTTGGAGAGAATGCTACCTTCTGATTATTCTATATCGATAAAAATGGACAATATTTCAAATGATAGCCGAGATACCATTTTCCATACTTTATATGATAACAACCTATTCGAATATTTTTTCTCTAACAATTTTTTTCATGATCATGATTTTTTTTATAGGTCAGGTGGAGAATCTGGTTCATTATCATCATTTAATATCGATGAAGTTGGTCAATATTTCGAGCGATAGCTCAGATACGATTTTCCATAATGTATAATAGCCTGTTTGAATATTTTTTGATTTACAAGTTTCCTCATAATAACTTCATGTTTCCATAATCTGCTACATTGTCATCAATTCATATTTGTCATCACATGGAGCGCACAAAAGAAAATCCTTATAATGTTTGAAGAACAACGTGCGTACCTTAAAGAGGATAGGATATTCAAACTGACTGGGAATGTTTCACTTGATAATAGAGATATGATTTTCCGAATAGTTTCGTCTCAGAAGTTAATTCGTAATTATTGGTATACGTAGTTTGAATGTTTGGTGCTGCAATATGCGTCAGAGCATCATTATTATCTATCTCTTGCAGCACACGAAAGCAAATACCTATTATATTCGAATAAAATCAAGCATAGACTGAAAAAGGGGTAGGTATTGAATTTTGAACTTTTGAAGATCATGGAAACACTTTCTATGGTAAACTTAGTCGTTTCATGAGTCTTGGTAAAGAGTTGCTCGACATATTCAAGATTGGTGGAAACAGGATGCGTTGTCTGAATTTTTTGAGTGCGTCTGACTGGTATTGCTAGCGATGAGATGGAATTTCTGAAAATTATTTTTCGTGTGTCTGTAGAAAAGTGGAAGGTCGATGACTTTTCTTTGATGTAACAGTGTTTTTGAAGAATCAGTGAGTGTGGAAAAACCCATATGTGGAACCAAATTCTGAAACAGGTCCTGTCTGTATTTCGTAGGGTAGCATGTTGCCTGAAATAAAAA